TTTTCAAATGAATATATTTATATTAAAAATTTATTATTAAATAAAATATAATTATTATAAAATATAATATATATATATATATACATTAATTTTTATTATATATATTGATGTATATATAAAAGTATTCGTATATAATTTATTTTATAGTTTTTTATTTTATTTATTTTTTTAATAAATAAATTTAAATTTAAATTTATGTTATTATATTAAATGATAATGAAATAAAAATATTTTAATTAAAAATATATATTTTTGTAAATAATTGAAGAAAAAATATAATTCTTATGAATAATTAAATTAAAAGTACTTTTTAAAATCTTATGACAATTATTTATTTATTATTTTAATATACAATGTGTCTATAATGTAATATTTATATCTTTGAGAGTATAATTTATATCAATGATATAAAATAAAATAAAATAAAATATATATTTTAATATAAAAATAAAAATAATATAATACTCTTATTTCTTAATAAAAGATAATATAATTTTTTATTACTATTAAAAGTGTCGAGACTCTTTATATCTCTAATAATTATACACAAATAAAATATTAAAATGTTATAAATATTTTATTTAAACAAGATATAAAAAGCTTTTTTTTTCATATCCGAAGAATATAATAATTCATTAAAAAATAAAGATAAAAAAATGATTATATATTTTAATATCTTCTTTATATATAATATATAATAGGTATAGATACACATATATTTCTGATGGAGTTTATTTATATTATTATTTTTTATTTATTTATAACAATATTTATAAAACTGTAACCGTTATCATAAATTGTTATCAAGACCTGTGACATGTTTCTTTCAGTAATATTATATCCTTTTTTAATTCTCTTATAAATCTTTCTCCTACATTACATAGCAAGTATTAAACAAAAATATATTAAAATATAAAATAATTCTGTAAAAAAAACATAATAATTTAATATTTACCATACAAAAGGAGTAAAAGAAAATTGAAAAAGAATTAAAAATTATTCGTATTCTTTTTCTTTAATAAAAGAACACTTGTATTCAAAACAGGATCAATTTTCTTCTTTTCTTGATGTGGAGTTGTAGCATCTGACCATTGACAGCCTTATCCAGTTGAATTCCCAACGGAAACAAATCTTGATAGGAAATGCTTTAAATATTATTTATTCTCTTCATTCTTGAATCTTGATGTGGAGTTTGTAGCATCTGACCATTTAAGAGGCATATATTTTTTAAAGAAAGATTTGTTTCCTTTTAATACGATTTTAACATTAATCATATTTAATTATACTTTATTAATTACTAATAAAAATGTATGAGGAATAGTATATTAAAAACTTTCCTGGTATATAATACTTTTTTTAGTAGTGTATAAAACATAAGACAGAGGAGGAATGTGATGACAGCTAATAGATAAAGTATTTTCCACATTAACTATTGATTGATGAAAGGAATTATGAAGAGAGAATTACGGGGCGTGGACATTAATTGAGGAATAGAATTGTATGTTGCTGACTCAGATTGCGTTTATCCAATGCAGATAAAGCTGGAACAAAAAAAATTAAAATATGTTTCTTGGCAAGACAGAGAAGAAGTCGGTTATTTGTTTATGTTTTTCCGTTTTCAAGAATTGTACCATTATAATATCCTTCCTAAAATGTTTTCCTTCAACGGTAGTAATGAAAAAGTGGTGTTATGAATATTGAGAAAGTTAGTTTATTTTGATGGGATTAAGAAGAGAGAAAGCGTGTGTTGAAATTGAACATGTGTTAGAAGTGTTGTTACTAGGACTAGGACTAGGACTAGGATGATTGATTGGGTTAGGTAACAGCGTAGGAATGTTGAGGGCAATGGACAGGTCAGCAACCAACTTTTAAAAAACAAAACTAAAAACCAAACCCTACAATTCCAATTCCAACCATTATTCTATTCTCTATATTTCTATTTCTCCTTCTTCCATCCATTTTTGTTCTTCTCTCTTTCTCTCTATCTTTCCCTCTTTCACCATCCGCAACCGGCAATCATGGAGAGGGTTGTCGGTGGCAAGTTTAAGATTGGTCGGAAAATCGGAAGCGGCTCGTTCGGTGAAATTTATATTGGTTAGCACCACTTAAATGTTTCTTTCTCCTTTTTTTTTTTTTTGTTTATGATATGATAGTTATTCCTCTTCTATATGATATATATGCTGATTATTGGGTTTTTCAGCCTCAAATATGGACACCTCTGAGATTGTTGCCGTCAAGATGGTTAGTCTTCCTTTTTTTTTTTCTGGGTTCTCGTCCCTTTATTCTGTTCAATATCAGGACTTGCTATGCTTCAGTTTATTTTTTTTATATATATATTTATTGCATCTTATGCAATTTTCTGGAAACAAGAAATAAAGTCAAAATGATGTGATCTTTATGCAATTATTTGTTGAAACGGAAAATGAAAATATAAATTTATATATATATATATATATATATATATTTATATTTTAAAATTAAAGCTTATTTACCTATGGCG